GCTGCTGGCACTGTAGGGACTTTAGAGAGAAGCTTCTTTTTGGCCACCGGTGTCCTAGTGAGGGGATGGCCACCAAAGAAACCCCACCCTCTGTCCTCTGGGGAATGTTCTAGACCCTTGCGCCGGACCACCCGGAAAGCACACCGTAGGGCAGGCAGGTGTCGCGAACCGTCCTGCCTTGTCGAAGGTCAGGGCTGTGACCCCGAGCTCCTCCTCTCCTGCTAGTTTGAAACCATTTCGTTCATTCAGAACTGAGTGACGGAAGTGCTGACATTATAGGTCATGGAAGAAGAACCGATTCTGTGAATCATGACAAAGTACAGAAGCCATTTTGGTTCCCAGCCCGCACCTACTGTGACTTTGAAATCCAACGTCCGGTGGCCCTTTGGGAAAATGTCTTCCTCAGAAGAGCCTGCCTCTTTCTAGGAATGTGCTCGAGGCGTCCATTCTGCTCTGAGAAAGCTCAGCTCTGCTGATGGGTGTGGGGAATGCACATGATTTAGGAAAGCTCGCGGAAAGGGGAAGACAGAGTTTGCCATCTGCGTCCAGAGAATGCCCTGCATGGCAGCCCCTCTCCAGATCGCCGGGACACGATTTTTGGGGGACAAACTTGGGTGATCGTTATGCTCTGCTCCGACAATAAGACGTTGTGATCAGTGTTACTGCTGGTCCTGGTCATGGTAAATAGTCTTAAACAACTACACGTATGGAACGTTCTCCTTCGAGTGGCTGTATCTTGGGCGACGTGAGGTAAATACAACTTCGCAATCATGGTGTAAAGTCACAGCGCCCTGTACATTCGATTTCCCCAACCGGCCATGAGGAAAGCGTCTAGGATTGTCCCTTAATTTCACATAAGAGGAAACTGTAGTTCAGAGTCGCTGTCCAGTCAGCAGAGGAGGCGGGGCTGGACCCCACGCCCCCAAGTCCAGGCTCTTAGCTCTGTCCTTTGCCTGCTCCTCTAGCTTATCTCGATCTAGAGATAACCCTGGTCTAGCCCCAGAAAAACTGCAGGAAAGTCTTTTGGGTCTACAGAGCTATTCTCCGCCCCGGGAAATTGTGGCTCTGCCAATGAAATGTCCCTTCGGAACCTAGAAAATGGTTGGGAAGGAGGAAAGAGATAAAGCCAGGAGGAGACCGAGCATGGAGCTGGCCTCACTCGCTCCCAGGGGTAGTGGACTTCGGAAAACGCCATCGTCCCATCTAATTGTGCTTCATTTTTTTTTCTTTCTGTATCTCAAGTTTCCAGATACTCCTCTTCAAATATAAATCTCCAACTCCTTTAATTTCAAACATAAAATTATTTTTGCTTTACTCCTCACTTGCTTCATCTATGCCATAAAGCCCTTCAATTAGCAGGCATAATTAAAGATTTAAGGCTAGCAGTACTGAAGAATGAATGGCTGCAGTGAAGACTGATGATTTTCAGACTTAATAACTTCCGCTCTGGCCGTCCGTTTCTGAATGTGTGCTGCGATTCACCTGTCACAAACCGTCCTTCCCCAAAGGCGAAGGATTAAAAGAAAAACACACTCAGAAAACTTAGTAGCTCTTCATTTTTTTTTTTGGAAAGGCAAAATACAATGAGAAGAAGCCGGGTTCGATTCTTTTCAGTGTACCATATTTTACGTCTGTGCTGTGCGTTAACTTCTCCAGAGTCAGATTTCTCACCTGTGAGACGGAGGTGACGATGCTTGCCTGACAGGATTATTTTTAGGTTTGGGAACAATGTTTGTAATGCTTCTCACACTGCTACAGAACACTGGCTCAGTGTGTGAGCATTTCTTTCATCCGCTTGATTTTCTACACAATACGCCGAATGCGTCAGGGCTCACAAATGAGTGTGACGTGACTGTAATTCTTAGGTGCTCTGCCTCTTGCCGTCACATACTTAAATACCTGATTTTGCTTTTTCTGATAGTATACGCTGATTGTCAAACTACTCGAAACGCTGCTGTAGTAATTGGCGATGCTGTTGGATTTTATTTCTTCTTTTTTACCAGCGAAACTTCTGTTTTTGGAAGCAATATTTATAGAATGAGCTGGCTATTAATCTGTATGGTATTCAGCAAAATTAGATTTTTTTTAATGACTTTGTTTGCCAGAAATCTTCCCTGCGGAGTTGGAATAATAGAGAGACTGATAACTGGATCTCATGTGAGACACTTTGCAATGCAAATATAATGAAGACGCAAATGTGATTGAATTTTAAATAGAACTTAGCCATTGTTTTAGCAAGTCAGTGGTACTTTTGTCTTAAATATGCAAAGACTTATTTCGGTCTAAAATAATTTTGTATATTGGACTAGGTTCTTGCTTTATAGCACATAGTAATATGGCTTGGCTGCCGCTCGATGATTTCTTATTCGTTCACTCGGTTGTTCCTTTATATGCGCATAGATGTGATAAAATAAATCCACTGAATTTCTCACAGGGTCTAGAGGTTAGTGCAGAAGACCAAACATAACTGGTTTAGAGCTCGTCGTGCCTAATGTTGGACAAAAAGGAACCTGGGCTAAGCACACTGGTGCTGGCGAGCCCCGTCTTCAGGCCATTTTTGCAAAAGTGCAAAGGAGAGCGAACCCGGAACATTCCAGTCAGTGCTGGGCTCACAGCTGGGTTGCTGCCGGAGCAGCAAGCCTGCAGCTCTCACAGTGGGCGCCCCTCGTGGACAAGTGGGTTACCCCAAGTCCAGAATCTGCTGATGCTTTGCACCCAGAGCGAGTTTTGAGCACACAGCATAATGATTCCGCATTCGCACACATTGCAGGGTGGTCCCGCAATGTCGAGTTCACACCCATCACCACGCACAGTTACAAAAAATGTTTTTCTTGTCATTGAGAGTTTTTAAGATCTACTCTCAGCAACTTTCAAATGTGCGATACAGTATCATTAACTACAGCCGCCGTGTTGCACAGTACATCCCCAAGGCAATTTTTTTATAAATGAAAGTTTGTACCTTTTGTCGCCCTTCTTCCATTTTGGCCCCCGCCACCTCCAGTCTCTGGCAACCAACGATCTGTTTTTTTTTTTTTTTTTTTTTAAGATTTCACATATAAATGGGGTTATACGGTATATGTCTTTCTCTCTCTGACATATTTCACTTAGTATAATGTTCTTGAGGTCCATCCATGTTGTCACAAATGGAAAGATTTTATTCTTTTTGTATGGCTAACATTCCATTATATATATATAATATGTATAATATCTATAATATTCCATTTTATATATTTATCACATCTTTTTTATCCTTTTGTCCATCAGGGGACACTTAGGTTGTTTCCATATCTTGGATCTTGTGAATAATGCTACAGTGAACGTGAGCGTACAGATATCTTTGTGAATCAGTGTTTTCGTTTTCTTTAGATAAACACCCAGAAGTAGAATTGCTGGATCATACGGTAGTTCTATTTTTAATTTTTTTCAGGAATTTCTATACTGTTTTCCATAGTTTCTGTACCAATTTACCATCCCACCAACAGCCTTTAAAATAATTTTTAAAGAACTACAATACTCAATAATTTAACTTACAAATGTCCAATACCTAATAAAAATAAGTAGACATATGAAGAGCAGAAAAATGTTACCTATAACCAGTAATAGAAAACAAACCCCAAAATGACAGAAACAATGAAAACAAATAATTATTTTAAAAGGATTATTATAAATATCTTCAAGGATTTAAAGGGAAACAGGAACATAAGAAAAAAGAAATATAAGCCATAAAAAAGGCCTCAACACAACTTCTAGAAATAAAAATACAATGTCTAAAAAAAAATCCTAGATGAGGTTAACAGAAGATCAGACACCGCAAATGAAAAAGATGAGTAAACTTGAAGATACAGCAATCAAAACTACCAAATAAAGTCCAGATGAGAAAAAAAAAAAGACCAAAAAAGATTTAAACATACACTTAGGGACTGCTGAGGTAATATCAAACAGTGTTATTTGAGTCCCAGAAGTGAGATTCTTCATGTCACCTTCCAGGAGCTTGGTTTCCCTTAACCTGAGGGTAAAACCTCCTGGCTTGCCTGCCCCTGAGGGTGGTAGTGGGACCTCTCAGAGCCGTGTCGATCATGCGCATTGTCAACCCACCTGATTTCAATCATCGACCAACAAACTCGTCCCCTCTGCGGTCGGTATCCTGTTTTCTTGAAATTTCAGCTCTTTGGCTGTCTTAGAAGATGAAGGCCGGAGGACAGCCGAGCCTCCAGACAGCTGAGATCGCTACAATTTTAAGTAGCAGAACTTTGGAAATCTCTTTCTGTATGGAACTTATTCATAAAGTGACACATGCAATGAAGCATTTTTTTATATATTACCGTACGAGAGTTTTGATATCAGCCCGAGGCTCTGAAACAAAGTTACTTGGTTCACGGTGGTCTTAGCGTCACAGCAAATTTTTTGTATAGTGCCCGAGGCCACAGGAGGTAGCTAATGGCTCCATTTATGAAGTAATGTTAAAGAGAAGCCAGAGCTGGACAGTTGTGACCGTGGTCCAAATAGATTTTATTCAGGACAATTGCAGTGGGGGGAACAGGACCTCAGTATAGCATCGGGCTCGATTCCAAATATAACGAGAGAAGGGGGTTGACGGCCAAGTGGCAGGTGGGGTTGGTGGCCGAAAAATTACTGAGAGAAAGTACCACAGGAAAGGGAAGATTCTGGCAAAAACAACCCAACATGATTCTTGCTAAAGGCAGGTCGAGGGACCAGACATCACCGGGGGGTGGTGGACCGTGAGAACCCGATTAGATATTGAGGGTGGACAGGTATGGAGGATGGAGATGCCGGCTAAACTGTCGTAGCAGGATTCTTGCTCAAACTGGACAACACAGAGATGTACCAGACGTTCAAAAGTCGAGGTCTAGTTGGAAAAGTTCAAAACCCGAATAGAGTTCGATCAAGGAGAGGATCTTTGTCAGTGGCTGGGTCTCAATGACTTAACGTCCTAACAATTTGTGGCCGTCTGGAAAAAAAGTGACCCCAGTTCCGTGCTAATGGGGGACGTGCGCGTGAGGGACTTGGCACAGCTTCTCAGACTCCTCACGTTGGCTTTTGTGGAGAATTTGCCTTTTATCACAACAATCGCTGAAAATGCAGCTTTGACAAGATATGATGCCATCAAAAAGAGCGGAGCGGGGTCTGATGTCGGAGGCATCAACTTCCTGCAGCTAGTGTTCTCGGTGTCCGGCAGAAGTCACGTATCCCTTGTTTTCCTTGAAAATTAAAAAAAAAAACAAAAAAACCCCAAACCTATATGATCCTCAGCGCCCCTGTGTCATCACTGCAGTGCCCCGTGACGCTTTGTCCCACAGTTTGGGAACTGCAGGTGCAAGCTGCGTATGCGTTTAATGCTGCTGCCATTGGACAGGTATGGAATCCGGACTCAGGGTCGCCCAAGATGCATGAATGAATGCCACGAAAGGACCCTTTCCTGGAAGCCAGTCCTGGCAAATGGGCTTCCAGGACACTGTGGGTGGTCAGGGACATGATACCCTCTCTGCATGGCCAAGTGGAGCCGCTGGAAATGCATTTATGGTGCTCTCTGGGCTGTCCCTCTGAGCGTCAGCCGCAGACTCCCCTCCGGATGGTGTGAAAGACAGCGCTCCCCTGAGTGTGGGGTCTCAGAAACGGGGAACAGGCGTCTTTCTGAATGACAGCCTTTTCCGTGAATTTATTGCTGTCCAGGACACCCCTCCCTTCTCCAGGGGTCACTGAATCTGAGGGTATTTACTGTTTCCTATGGCTTCTGCAGCACAAGACAGTGGACCGCAAACATACATTCTTCATGTTAATTTTCAGAACTTGTGCTTGGATTTATTGGATGTGGCTCATTCTGAAGCCTGAGGACTTTGCATCATCAAAGCAAATGGTGCCGGGTCACAGTTTTATTAATTTTACTCTGAGCAGAACTGGAGGCACAAACAATATGACAAGAAGGATCTATATACGTATACAGTTATTTTAATTCCTATTATTATTTTTGCAAGACGGATTGATTTTTCTCATGAAATTTCTTATGTGATAAAATTTCATGATCTGAATATTTCTAGCTGATGAGTTGAATCAGTAATATAATTCTGGAGAAGGGAAAGCTATAAAAAATATTTCCAAGACGTTACTCTTGACTCGTTGGGGGAGCTCTACCATTATTTAGCTTTTTTTTTTTTAATTAAAGCTATAAAAAGTAGAATGTATAATCCACACAATGAAATTGTCTTTGTTATTTTCCGCATTAGGGCTGACACATCTTACAGTGTTGATCATCTGCGTCCCTCCACCAGCACCGTGGGAGCAGAGACTGTGCCTTTTTCCCAGGGCTTAGTGCAGAGGTCAGCAAGCTTTTTCTGTCAAGGGCCAGAGAGCAAATATTTTTGACTTTGTGGGCCACATGGTCTCTCTTGTGACTACTCAATTCTGTGGATGGAGGAAGAAGGCAGCCAAATAATAAGTCAATGAATGACGTGGTTGTTGTCCAATAAAACTTCATCGATGGCCGCTGACAGCTGACTTATGTAATTTTCACATAATATGAAATATTAATTTTGTTTTGATTTTAAACATCTTTAAAAAATGTAACCATCATCTTTACCAGGCGGCAGGCTAGATTTGGCCCGTGGGCCTTAGTTTGCCCAGCTCTGGGCTAGAGCCATTGCTGGCGTATAGAAGGTGCTCAATAAATATTTGTTTAATGATGAGGAGCACGTTTTTCATTAAATTTTTATTATGAAATATTTTAAGCACACAGAACAGGGCAGAGAATAATATAATTAGCATCTACCACTGAGATTCTACAAACATGACTCTGTTACATTTGCTTCAGATTTTTTTTTTTAGAAAACAGCCAGATATAGTTAAAAGCTACCCCTCCCTCCATTTCCCTCCCTCTCTGTCGAGAAACAGTTGTTATTCTGAGTTGGTGTATAAGCTTTCTGTCTGTGTTTTTTATTTTTACCACACAGGCATAAAATATCTACAAAAGGAAGAGTCATAGTGTACCTAGCCTTCTGTGACTTGCTTTTTTCTTTTCTTACTACTATGTTTTGTCTGTGGTTGTCAGATGTAACTCTAGTTCACTCATTTACATTTTTTTTTTGTCGTTTAATATATTTGTCTCTTTAGTCTTACTCAAGAGATTCTTTTCAACCTTGATGTCATAAAGGTGTTCTCCCGTATTCTCATCTAGAGCAGGAATCAGGGGCCCTTCGATGCAGAGGGTCAGAGGAAATATTTCAGGCGTTGCTGGCCACACCCTTTCTCTTCCAACTACTCAACCCTGAAAGCAGCTACCTCCGTAAACTAATGGGCGTGACTGTGTGCCATTAAAACTTTATTTACAAAATCAGGCGATGGGCAGGATTTGGTCCATGACATGCAGTTTAGAGACTCCTGATATAAAAGTTTTGAGATTGTATTTTTTAACATTTGATACAAAATTCATCTAGAATTCATTTCTGTGAGTATGTAATGCATGACTGGAATATTTATTTTATAGTCATAGCAATCAGCAGTTGTTCAAGTACCTCTTACTAAATAGTTTATCCTCCCTGCACTAATTTTTAATGCTTTCCCGTTATATACCAGGTTTCTTTATATGGTATATCTCTGTGCTCTCTTTTCTGATATATTGTTTCATTTGTCTGTCCCTGGGCCAATACTATACTGTTGCAGTGATGATAGCTTTATAGTAAATATTGTATCTGGTGGGGAAAATATGTTCTTTTCTTCAAATTATCTTGGAAATACTTGGTCTTTTTTTCTTCCACTTGAGTTTTTAGATCAGTATGACAAATTAGAAAAAAAAAGAACATGATATTCGGTTGGAATTATATCTTTCTGCTTGGATCGATATTCTTATTTCACAGTAGCCAATGACTGGACAAATTACTCCAATTCTCTGAGCCACAGAGATAATGTGCAGTTAATAATACTTACTGCACAGGGTTATAGTGAAGATGAAAATCTTATTATTAGCTATTAGTATTCTTTGGTGGAAGCTCTCTTATTAAAGTTATTAGGATAGTTAATCAGGTCAGTTAATCAAAGAAGTTAATTGAAGTGGAGAATCATAAAAAAGTTTCAAGCATACTTTAAACATCTTATTTTATCTTAAAAATACATAAATGGGTATTCCTGCAGCAGGGAAAAAGGTGTTGCTGACGCTTTATCCACAGTTGCACATGCTGCTGGTGGTTTGTTTCCTTGTGTGGATTGTAATTTCTTATAATGAGCTCATTATGATGTGTCCATGTGTGTGAGTCTCACGTGCTATGAAACTGTCACTCCGTGACTCTGCTGGTCCTGGACAAGTTTTTTATGTTCATTTCTTAGCTAAGGATTTCCACATCAAGGGGCTATCATGAATCAAATGGGATATTCACTTTGGTTACTCCTAGGCAACTCTTTTTTTAATCCAGAGATCCTAGAGAGATGTCAGTTTCTCCAGGCACACCAGTGGATTTAGTTTCAGGCCACCCATCTTTTTTTTTTTTTTTTTTAAACAGGGTGGCTCTTAGAGGCTTTCTGTGTCGACTCAGTTATGGGTCACCCTCTTCTCCTGGGCTCAAGGCCATGTTTCTCATGCTCATGCGATTTCTAGAACTCAGACTCCCAGCCCTTCGGTCCTCTTTCCAGGTCTGTAACTCCTGTGGACAATGCAGTGTCATCTGCTAATGGCTCCGGCCGTGAGTTCTCTCATTATTTCTGAAACTCGAGGATTCCCCTCCTTCTCCCCGCTTTAAAGCTCTCCTTTGAATCAAAGCATTTTCTATTTTATCTAATTTCGCTCTATGGTTTGAGCTGGAGAAGGGCCTGCCCATCGGTTCAGTCTGTTGTAATTAAAGTCCCAAATAACGAAATCTTTCATCAACAAAGCTTTTCTTTGCTGCGTGCCTACGGCATTTACACACGCAGGAAAAGTCACGGCGTCTATAATCTTTACCCGCTAATGTAATTCACACAGTCCGACTTGGCACGCACGGTTCGATGTGATTGGTTTCATCGACGCGCTGAAACAGGTCAGGGGATGCTCTGTGCTCAAAAATTAGTTTCCTGGAAAACCCTTAATTCTACACGGTTAGGCTTTACTGACGTTTTCCTGTGGATTTTTCTATCCTTCTCATTTCGTGCCTTCATTGGAAATGCTAAATATTTGTGTTTTTTAAGAAATAATGTGGATGATCAGTATTGTAGAGCGTCTTCAAGCTACAGTACTTCTGTTCTACCGCTTCCGTAGACGTAATGATCCAGGCACCGACTCTCCTGATTTAAGGTTTAGCTTCTCGTGGGAGAGGAAGCACCTCTGTGTCTTAAGAGAAAGTGCTCCAAAGTGCAGCTAGAATGTTCTCTCTTCTGCTTCTCTGTGGAGCTGTCTTGTGTCCACAGGGCTGCAAAATGAAGGCAGGCTGTTTTTCTCTCCCTCGTCCCTCTGCTTTCTGTCCCGAGACCCCAGTCTCTGCTGCTGGCCACCCCGTGTCTGTGCTTCACAGTCCATGACTGTTCCTAGTTGGCAGGGTTTTATGGATGGCCTCTCCACCCTCAGCCCTGTTTCTCCATTCCTTTACTGTTTTTTTTTTCTTTCTTTTGTTCCTTTGGTCTTCTATAATTTCAAAAGTCCTCTCGGTTTCCTCATGGAAAAATACCCGCCTTTTACTAGATGACGTGAGCTAATCAGAGCTTCTTTCCTGCCATGCAGCGAGATGACTGGTCTGAGCACACATACAGTTTGGGGATCTTTTGTTGATTAAAAAAATAATTGCCCCTGGGTATCCAGGGCCTGCTCTTTTGGTGTCTTGAACTTTATTTTTTTCCTTTTTAACTTTATTTTTTTTTCCCCACTTAGCGAAGCTGCCTAGATGAAGCTGGCTGGTTCTAGAAGGCTTATCTCCAGGCTAATGAGGTTGGGTGATATGAAGGTTTTAGATTTCTCCGCAGTCACTGGTTCTTGACCTCACATCTGGGAGCAGATGGATAGTAAACTTAGAGCAGCTGTTTCCACTTAAAGTTAGAAACACTAAAAAGAGAGCGAAGGGCATTTTTGTGCCCACAGAGAGAAAAACACAGGAGAGCAGTCGAGAGGCCAGACAGGTTCAAGGAAGCAAGCTGGGGAAGCTTGGGGAGCAAGCCCTTTACAGCTTGAAGCAAAAGGTTTTCCCAAACAAGGTGACCCTGGTTTTTCTGCTCTTCGACCTTGTTTCTCACCCAACTTTTCTCCAGAGTCCTGGGCTCCAATGCCCTGCCCCAGTGGGAATCGCTCTGAGCGAAGAATAAAGAGCGGTCTCAAAGACGGCGATGCACCTTCTTCGTTTCAGACAACAAATATTTATCGAGTGCCAACTGTGTGCTGGGTTTTGCAGCTCCTGGCTGCCTCAC